ACGGACGAGGTAAAGGAATACCAAGATCTCTCTTTTATTCTTGTTTATTCTTGTACACATAGCTGTCTTTCTTGTACACGAACGACGCATTTCGATGACATGACCCTTTCCACCTTTGCCTTCTCAGCTTTTGTCTAACTGCTCCAAGAAAATGGAAAAACTTGAACGAATCGCCGATTAGACAGGATTGCGATATTGGTAATCGTTTTCGCAAGCATCATAAGTGCCTCTCTTTGTCGCAACCATTCTTTTGGTATACTTGGGGAACTGAAATCGTACTCGTTCATCGTGTATGAATCGGTTTTAATTTAGGGAATCAAGGCTTGCTCGCGTTCAAAGCGATTCGAGAGTACTAATTTCCATCACGCATACCTTTTACTAATCGAGTTCGAGGGCCGTACTGTAAGATACGGACCTAGTTTTTTCCGCTGGGTTTATGGCACAAGCGCGAAGTGCACGGGAAAAACGAGGTTCTTTAACTTGCAGTACGGACCGAGAAAAACGAAGTTAGTACGATATTTACTATATCTCTTGATTCAAATAGAAGGGAAAAAGATTTTAGTTCAAGCGGAACGGCCAGTGATGATTAACGAGCGTCAAATCCTAAGCACGAGAATATTTTATTGGCTTCCAATAAAAACTGGACTTTGGGTCAAAAGTTCAAAATATTCGTTTATTACCCATGCATAGTTTAGAATAATGCAAAATTACACGAAAGCAACAGTTTAAGTATACCAAGGTTTTCTGTAAGGAAGTGAGATAAAACGTTCTATAAGTAACACTCTTGTCGAGAGTTTTTTTTTTTAATTCCTGAAATCTGCAAAGCACAACGCGTTTCTGTGTAGAGAGTGCGAACTAACGGCTAACTTTGTTCAATGTCAGTGTCAACGTCAAACGAATGAATGAATTTTATCAATTCGATCGAAAACAGCACAAGCACCTTTTTAACGATTAGTATCCGATTTTTGGTGATTTGTGGCGTTTTCATAGAAGTTGCAGGGTGGATTACTCGGTGCAGACTGCAGAGTCGATATTTGTTGACGCGATGAAAGAAAGGCGTGGACTCGCTTGAGAGCTGAACCTACTTTTTAGAGCTTTAGGAGCAATAAAAACGAGACGATTTAGACGAAGATAACTCCAATATGCAATTTGAAAGCTTAAAATACTGTCATTTTGCTTGTCGACACCTTTAAAGAACTTGCCTAGGAGCTTATCGAGAGCAGCAGCTGGTATGCTTATTACATTAGAATTTCCATCAAACTGCTGTTCGTAAAACCCTACAAACTTTTTGCACTCGTATTTTGACTTTTCAAAGTATTCGACGACCTTTCGGCTGCAATGGAATAATCTGGTTTACGACCCGAATTATGTTCGTCGTAGATAGTCGTATTTCTCTACTTGCCGCTTGTCCTACTCAAAAACTCGAAGAATCCGACTCGAAAGATTGGGATATCTGCTTCTAAGTTTTGCTCTTTTTCCTCGTTGGCGAACTTTTCCTTAAGTCGGTTCAAATTTTTCTTGAAGCGATATTTTGGCGATCAAAACAAACTTTTGAATTTAGCGGGCCATGCAATGAAATACGGCGCGCTAAATGGACTAATCATAGCGCACGTTCTACCCGAGAGATGTAACGAGGGGTTTTATTTGATAATCTACGAGCTTAATGCCCTGAAAATACCTGATCAGATACATCACTGTACGCACGCACAACTAGTTTGATTATTCCATGCCAAAGCGCTTTCTGCTACTGACTGAGAAGCAACGTCGTACTAGTGCACGTGTCAACCGGACTGAGGATGAATCACCACGCCCTCACCCAACTAACGGCCCTCGTTGGGCTGTCCGCAGCGACTAATTCTATACATTTTCAGAACATTTGACATTTCATAAATACCAGCTGTATGTTTTTCCTGATGTTCATTTGTTAAGTAAGGAATTTCAGGTATGTTATGTTCAAATGACAAGGACGACGAGCGAATATATACGTACTTTTCATATAATAAAAATTGTCACCGGTCGATCGATTGAAGAAAAGAAGAAGAATAAAATAAATTGATTGAAGCTGTAAAGAAAATATAGTTCTTGTATATGTGTGATTGTACATAGTGCGGAGCATAGATTTCACAAACGGACGGTATAAAAGTCTGGTAGGGGTTATATAAAACCGCACGATCAGAACATATTTACCTGTCCTGTAATGAAAAAGGAAGATCACGAATAACGAGTGCTGAAAGAGTCCGATAAATAGAGGAAACAAGAAAAAAAAGTGTTTCTGGAACAAAATCTAGTGTTTCCGTCCACTCTAGATCTGAATTCGTCAGCAGAAATAAGACAAAAATCTGTTTCCGAAAAGTAACCCAGTATTTCCGTCGACGTTCTGTCTGATTACGTCTACGGAAACAAGAGAAAAACGTGTTTCCGGAACGTGACCTTGTATTTCCGTGAACGTTTAGGTATGATGACGTCGACGGAAATATAAAAAATTCATGTTTCCGCCACGTTACTATGTGTTTCCGCACATGTTAACATGAAGTTACACTTGCGGATACATTTGTTTGTTTTCCTTCAACTGAAACCTGACGGAAACATGTAAAAAAGTGGTACGGTTCCGCTGTGACCGCAGCAACGGAAACACGAGTAAACGTCACCAAACCGACAGCGGAAACGCGTGTTGAGCATCGTGTTTCCGCAACGTTTTCACATATTTCTTCCACGTTTCCGTTTACGGATTCTTGATATTTCTTCCTGTGTATATTATTCGCATCTACTTTAGCGGTAGCGAAATATCAACTTGCTTGATAAATAATAAAACATATAATACGAAAGAAATCAATTTCGAGCAAAGAAAAACTTCACCACAGCTAAGAGTTGTCATAGGCATATAAGGTTGCTTTGCTGTGGGTGAGATAGTTTTTTTCGTCTGCCCTAGAGGGATCAACGATTGAGCAATTCTATCTGGTGGTGTGTTGCATGTGGAGGTAGTGTCTAACTGCACCATGATTGATTTGTTTAGGTCCTTGGTCACACCCAGTTCCAAGGGGCTGGACAATTAACGCCCTAGGGCCTCGCCTATTGGATGTTGTGAAGTGCTGTAGACAGTTTGGGCATATATTTCTGGTTTGATATAAACCTTAAAGAGATCAGTTTCATACTCCTCCCCTGAACTTTTTTCGGGTTCTTCTTACCAGCGATGGAGGAACGGAAAGCTGCCAAAGCTTTGTCTTTTTCCTGCCACTTTAGCCTAACAGGCACAATCCGCTTCTTCTGCTGTTTCTTCGGCAGGAGGCTCGCTGTCTTACCATCCATTGAGCTCGCACCAATTGCGACCATATCATCACCCAATCCGAAGTAATACATCAATCCCAAAACATTCTGAAAAAGTTTACCTTTATTATCAATTCACAGTTTTATAATTAACCAGAAATCCGATTTCAATCGTTACACGAAGGCGCGCCATAAAAGGAGAGGTGCCTTAGGTACCTCTGAATCATTTGTCAATCAACCGTCGTGGCATACAGAACTCCAAAACAGCCTGAGCTGCAGCCAATGCAAGGCACTGACCAGAGGCGCATTTCTCGGTAAAAATTTCTACGTTTTCATCACAATGGAAGAATTTTTTGAGGTTTGTATTACCTTCCTCCGATCGAAACCTTCTTCATTTGTGGCGGTAAATTTGAAATTCGAAATGATTCGCTTCGCCGTCGCCTAAAATTGCCATGGCGTAATTTCATGTCTGTTCTTAAATACTGGATGTAGATGACCGTTAGAATAAAAAGAAAAGATGAAGAAATGTTCAAGGCATTTCTTCAATAATGCCAAGGGGAAGTGCTGTTAACCCAACGGAAGAAAAATAAAAGCAGAGCGACCATTGCAGGCGAAGTTCTGGAGCGCGCGAGTGAACCGCCGCCAACCACCGATTCACTTGGACATGTCCAGGCATCGATGTCGCCAAATGAATCATCTGTACGGGCTTCCTCCACAAATGGTGCGATTTCTTTTTCTTTTTTTTTAATCTAAGTATAATATGATTACAACAATACTGAATGATCTTTAACCTTTGGAACAATACATTAGAAAGGTAACTTAGGACTACAGTTCGATACCAACAATCACTGTGATAATGTATCACCAAGATTGAAACACTCGCGTAACGCAATAATTTTCCAGAAGTAACTAATTGCAGAGATTTTTTTTCGAACTAGGAAATACTAGTTAGAATATACTTGCAAACCACAGATTTTTTTCGTATGATGCGACAGTTCATGTCTAACACTGCTTCCTTTTGATGCCTTCATTTTCCGAAATGCAGCCTTGCGTGACACCTACCAAACGTTTTGTCCTGCCTAAGAATGTTTTGTCCTGCCTAAGAATGTTTTGTCCTGCCTAAGAATATTTTGAAAGGAGTTATTTCTTTAGAACTACAAGTTATATTTATTGCGATATTTTATGCTACACCATGGGCATACGTGTCAATTAAACATGAAAAATGTACATAAAAATTGTCCAAAATAAAATGTAGGCGGGAAGACTAGTTGTACGATCATATCAGACTTCATGACCGTTCAGTTGCGCTTTCGCTCTAACAGTTATTTCACCTTGTCTCCACAATAGCTGATGCAAGAGGGGACGAGTTCGAAATGTGTATTTACTGTTGGCAAACGCCATGTGTAACGACCGACAGTCGCGAATACCTTGGCTATCGCGAAGCACATATTCAAAATCACGTGCGACGTAGAAAAGATTAGAAGACGTACTGGAGAGCATTGAACAAATGTGGGCTCTGGAAAGACCCTGTTTACCAGGCTAGAAAAGTCGAACTGGGGGACCACGTTAATGTAGTGCGGGAAAGGATGTCCAATTGTGTTATAAAAGATGTGAGCTCCACGTTTCCTAACCCTCCTGGTATTGCCTACATGGGGCATAAAAGGGAATAATAAAATTCTCATACAAATGCCCACCTCAAAGAGAGCCCAAGTACCCAATTTTTTTTTATGGTCCATTTTACAATGTCCACACAGCAAATTATAGTGACTTTCCTATAGGTTAGGAAAAGATATACAGTGCAAAGAAAAGTAACAGGAGGAAACAGAGAATGAGTCTGCTTGGAAATACCTTGTGTCAAACCTAATATTCATGTTTTCATTGCTTGGTACCAGCAGTTGTTAGAATTGGTCCTCCCTAATGACCTCACATATTAATACTGAACATTTGGGCTCCTAGTTGTAATTATCACAGAAACTGTGGTGCAATGGAAAACAGAAGAGACATCATTTGTTTATATTAAAAAAGGTAGACCAGATAGTTTCTCTGAAATTAAATGTCTTTGAAGTAAGCACCCTGGTCTCTGCCAAGCGGTTTGGATGCCTGGTATGTTGGTACATCTGTAGAGACGATGCTTCTCGATTCACATTTTCATTCTGTAAGACAAATGAGTCAATGAGCAAGAGAAGGCAGTGAATCCAAAAAGTGCCAAAGTAATTGAGCAGAATTAACAACATAAGTTTCTTACCCAATCAAGAATGGCTAACTCCATGCACATGTTGTATGTGTCATCCCCATAATGAATCCGCTTTGCAGCATAAATGAGCATCACTGAATGGAGAGACTCAATCCAATATGTTTCCCTGCACTGAAGAAGGCAACAAATTATGGGTGATTTTTCTTTAACTGGAAAATGAATTTGTTCAACTCATTTATGGCCCTTACCTCAACATCATTAATTTGGAAGAAGAGATAAACTTCTTCATGCAAAGAAACATAAACATACAGCATGCGTCAATTAATTACCCGCATGTAGTCCGATGCATGCCTATAAATTGAAGTGCCCATAATGGCTTCCCTGCATGCAGCTACTACTTCAGGTTTAGTTAAAAGTTTTTTGCTCATCACATAGCCATTCTGCTTGCACCGTGACTCCGCATGGCATCTGACATGATTTCCCTGAGTAATAAATACACCAAGTTATAGAAAAATAGATTAATAAATCAGTAGTAATAATTATAGTAAGTATAATGTCTCTTGTTCACCATTATTAAAGAAATATGTGCAATCTTTGAGGTAATGATCATGTCATATCTTACTAGAATAACACAACAAAAGGTACTTACAGAAATGAAAACAAAATACTATGTTCTCAATAAACAGTCACTCAAATTACCTGGTAATGGTCAACTACATTCAACAGTGTACCCTGAAATTCTTCTTCATTGGGTGGACTGTTCTTCATGCAGAAGTATACAAGAGTCCTTGTACTTTTCACTGTAAAATATTCAGAATTATTATATTCCATTATAGTCATCTTATATCAAGAAGGAATTTGACATCTGCAGGTAATTGTGGAGAGAATATAGCTTTTGATGACTCTCATAAGAGAGATATCTTACCTTTGTCTAACAATTCAAAAAACCACTTTGAGCCCTCATCCCTCTGGGCCCCTGAGGCAACTTCCTTCATTGCTTTAGTCACAGACTTTGCACCTGAAAATAAACAAAAAAATATTAATACCAATAAAATGCTAACTTTCAAGAAATAGTCATAATCATCAAGACAAAATGAGCCAAAAAATACAAGTGTGTACTGAGTACCATGCCAAGAGTCAAAGGAATTAAGCATTCCTTTTGACAAGATCCATGTTTTTAGCTGTAATACAAAGTCATATGCCACCTCTGCAACATGGAACCCTGAAAAAAGAATTACTTTAGCTGCATTATAAAAGATACTTCTGACCTCCATATTTGTATTACATATGCGATATGATATTATTGAGGATGCAAATTTATCATACCTTGTGTCTCAGAGAGATAAGTCAGCAGCTCTTTTGTCATAGGGACCTCACAGCTTACTGCTGAAGTTTCATTGGCCCTACTCCAGTTGACAACTGCTAACACCTTGTGTTGAACATACCAGAGGTTCAACATATCATACAAAGAGATCAAGTAGAAACCATCTTACCAGAAAGAAAGGGCTGACACTGTTGTGTGTGCTGTTGATCGACTGGAATCATGCCTTGCATCTGTTATAACTCACTGCAGGAAGAAATGGTAGAAATCAAAACATAAAAATGGTCACATTTCTCTACTCACAGATATTTTCAAGGTTTACAATCTGATATAAGATTTTATATTTTTGTATGTGCCAGTCTACATAATATATTCCGAGTATGGCAGGTGTATAAGTATGTGGCCAAAGACAAAATGAAATTAAAATGACAACTTGTACCTCTCCATTCACAGCATATGCAGGGTTACTCTTCACTTGTTCTTGAGTAGCCAACATCGACTCATTGGAGACCCTCTTCATGACTGTCAAGTAACTGAGCTTTTTCAAGACTGTTGAAGTGATTAAAAATAGAAGTATTTTAGAATTGCATCTGGTAAGGCACAAACCAAAGAAGGAACAGTTCAGTCAGTTTGAGCTATCTTGGTAGAACATTCATGATTTAGCAACCTGCAAACTGCTGTTGACTGCCTTCTCCTTGCAAGGAGAAAGACTACATGATTTTCAGAGCATCTGCGCATGTGCATTGCTAACCTGTGTCGGAGGTCTTTTCTCCCTCTGACCCGATGTTGGCTGCTTGACAGAAACTTGTGTATTCTGTCTCTGTCAAGCCACAGGACAATACTCCATGAATCAATCTATGAAAGAGAGACAGAGAAGTGACCAGTTACAAAAAAAAAAACTGTAAAATACCGAGATAACAAATTTCTGTAAATTTCGAGCAAAAATAAAAGAGTGCTCACCTCAAATTTACATAGTACTTTGGAGGAGATCCTCCCATGATAGGGGAGGAGAGCCACTTGAAAGAATCTCCACCAACACATGAAATTGTCACCGACACTACACGACTCTGTCGATTGAAGACAAGTGACTCGCAATCGAAGGGTTTTCCACAATAACAACATGATGTCGTTAGCGTATTAGAGAAAAAAAAACAGAGTTCGCAGAGATTCTTTACTGCAGAGATATATGGAGTCGTTCTCTGCTGAAGATGCAGTGATTTGCATTCTTTGTGACGTACGTTCTGCTTGTGGAGGAGAAATTGGAGAAAAAGGATCAGCAAAAGGCAAAGAAATACGCAAAGATGGAGTGGAAAAAGCTGAAAGAATTGAAAACCGTGCAGTTATGGATGGTGTAGAAAGAAGAGATGGGTTCGGACTTCCCGTTGATGAGAAGCTCAGTCGCTCGATGTCAGTCGTTTCCTCTCAATTTTCTCCTCAAGAGCTAACAGAAGAGCTTCCATCAAATCTGCATTCTGTGTGCTTGTCGTCGCTTTTGTAAGATTCAACGAGCCTTTGGCCATCTTTATGCGGTCTTTGATGGCGAGAGGTCTGCTCTCCTGAGTTCAAGGAACTTCTATGTTGAACGAGAACTGAGGACCTCGATCCGTTGGACGCTTTTTCTTGGGTACAGATGGATTATTTCCCTCAGCCTTAACGAATAAATTTCTCAATAAATATATCTTTCGAGCTGTGACAGCCAAGACTATTCTCCAAACTGAACTAGAGTTGTGAAATTCTGTCTCAAAATCGCACTTACTTGTGAAATCATCCATACTTTAGAGGTTTTGTCACAGAATTGTCACAGATAACAATAGTCTGAGCATTGCGCATAGAATGTGTCATGAATCCGCTAGTTTCGATGGGAATAATCTGAAGGCTCGAAGAACCAGTTTGTATCAGGGGCTTGGGACATAAGCCGAAGTTACACGGCTCGAATTTTGAAAAGACAACTGTGCGAGTGTCTCGTCGACCGCAGATAGCGCTTTGAGCGGCCGAACGATAAGTTAGTGCCAATTAATATCAAAATGAGCTCAATTATGGGAATGAGAGTCAACAAGACGCAATATATTCTAATTTATTGACACAAAAAAAAAACACTTAAAGTGTGTCTTCTATGCAGACCGTTTCACTCATGGTGGGAACTTTGGTCGCCATATTGGATGATTTTTGCATTTGAGCTGAAACAAAGGGGAGGAGCCAACCTATTTATAACGCGCCTTCGTGTTAAAATTCACCTTTCACAAAGCCTTTCCCTAACGCAAGCAATCATCAGGAAAAAATAATCAATTCGGACTTTTTTCCATAAAATGAATGTTCAAAATTAACATTCCCACCTCCCCCCTCCCACTTAGAGAACACACTGTTAGGTCAAAAAGAGATATTTTGTTTATTAAACTTGAATCATCTACAAACAGTATTATGTCAAAACTAAGGTTCTCTTCTTTGCGCAAGTTTAGGCTGTGTATTTTTTTAAAAAAATTAATTTCTTTGGAGCTGCCGATGTAAATTTAAAGCTGCAATTTTAAACCAAATCCTCTGACTCTTCCCTTCCGGCCACTTAAGCGATAAATGATGACCGGTAACTAAGGTCTCGAGGGATTTGGCCGAAATTCCAAGGGTCTCCCTCAGTAGAAGAGGAGTCTGGAAAGAAGTTAAGAGTTAATTTCTATTCCTACAGATGTACTTTGCAAACTCTGTAAGTCTTAAAACTTCATGAGATGATTAATTTGCTTTATTGTCTTTCTTAATATCGTTTACATAGGTATTTAAGAGACAATCAGATAGCAGAGCTACCACGTGGAGTCTTCAGCTACAACACCAAGTTGATTGAACTGTAAGTAAACAACATTTATTGCTTATCTCATGAGACTTATTTTTAAGAAGCTTATACAGACCCAGTC